TGAATGTACTCTTGGTGAGTATCAATTTTACGTTCAAGACGCTCCAATTGTGTTTCAATGGACTGGAGTCTAAAACTCACTTGCACAAAGCCCGTAGCATTGTTGGTCTCATTCGCGTTTTCTCTTTGAACCTGACCAAGAAGCTGTTGAAACTGTTCCCTCGCGAGTTGGTTTTCCCTTTGGGAACCTTCCAACTGCTGCTGCAAACGTTGGATTTCAGCCAAGGCCCCCAACGTCTGTGCCTGCGCCTCTGTCGTCTCGACTCTGGCGTTGGCAACTGCTTGAACGGCTTCCGATCTGAGGTCCGATGCAGCTGATATGGCAGCTTCTCTGAACCCCGCAACTTCTTGAGTTGTTTGCGCTCTAAGCTCCGCACTAGCAGCCGCAACAGTCATTTGGGTGTACAGTTCGGGGTTTACCCCATGAGCATGCTGCTCGACGTTTATTGATCTTTGATCAAAGTTCACTGATCTTTGGTCATGGTTCATGGTCTGACTTCCCCTGAAATCATGCGTTCCTTGTTCAGCCCTCATTTCAATCTCCATAGCACTTGGCCTCAAATCAACCAACGAAGGTAAGCTACCCCCGCTAGACGGTGAACCCGAAACGTGTTCTTCCATCCTAGGTGGCAACGTGGCTTGGGGATGTGGGCTACGACCCCTCAATGACTTAGCGAGGTAGGGGCCCGGACGTTTTCCCGGTGCTGAACTAGAGTCACTCGACGAATCTCTCCCCAATTTGCTCCGAACTACCACTGGTCAGTTGAAAGGACGTTGAACTCGACCCTTCCCCTTCCATTCAAGAAAAGATTCGATGTTTCGCTCAAAGCAGCAGATGCGCAACTCCCCGCGCCAGGCGCAAGGTGAGCCGCAAAACACACCCTGCTTAGCCGCTTGTGAAAATCCCTGGCCACCGGGTCCTATAGACTTTAGGGATATAGCGACGGCGACCTATTTCCACAAAAGCTTCTGCCACACTCGAGGCAACGAAAAACCCTTTTGAAGGATTGCGCAGATTAGGATTTACAAAGACTGTGTCAACACCCCTTTCACGCAATTTCGCTGCTAGATCAAGTCTATCGTCTATGTGTACTGCAACTTCCTCTGGCACTAAGGCGGGTTTATCCCTGTCACTAGTAATGAGAAGCCTGAGGTCGGTGAAATTACTCTGGTTGAAAGAGTGCAGCTCACGGATTGCTTCTGATCTGCGTTTGTTGCTTGAATGCCCGCGCAAACCTATATAACTGCAAACACCTGCCTCGTGACGCCTGTCGGTGTGAAGCCAATTAGCTAAACAACACTTTGCGTCAGTTGACCAACACCCTTCAGTTGCCGCGCCTAAGTCAAGAACCCCGTGCAAATCTATGGAAATACGAACGGTGGCCCCTTCAGGGATCGGTGGTGAGGGGGACCCAATTCTCAACCCGGGATTTGGTCGAAGTCCGAGGTTCGCAGCCTCCGACAGCAACTGGACACCCTTAGCTTTCACACCTTCAGCTCTTGAGTCTTCAGGCTTCTCCTCGGACTTCCTCTTTGAGGGCAAAGCCAACCCTACCTCTGTGGGGTTTGGGGGTGTTTCAGGAGTTGGGGTACCAAGTCTACTAGAACCAGCGCTGGGACCTAGGGACAGCGAGCTACCAAAACCGACCTTGGGCGAGACCAAGCGACTTGGCTCAGCCGAAACGACCGACGACTTGGGCTCTGAGACTTGAAGGGTTTCCACGTTAGAAGGAGCACTTTTCGGCCTTGTTTCTTCTAGCACTACCCTTTGAACAACAGCTTGGAGCCTTTCCACGCCCGCTTTGCTAGTTGGGGCAGATCTGGGGTTGTGATTCCCTCTAACGGTTTCCTCTGTTAGTTCCTTAGAACGCTTTGTCTTCTGTCCCCCCCTTTCCCTTCTTGGCATACACTGGCCAAGATTCGCGAAGAGAGCAGTCGAGCAGCCGCGGCAGAGAAGGGAGCGCAAGGACTCGAAGAGGAGGGCAATAGAGCAGCAATGGCCAGAGAGGTGAAGGACTCAAACGCGGAACAAGGGAAAGATAGAGACCTATGGCTGATAACCACACAAAACAGTGGCTGAGCCTTTCTCACACTTGAGCCAAACATGTTCAGGGACACTATTTATCCCGCGGAGTGAAAAAACCCCTTGTTTACTTCGTCTTATTCTTCTGGCAATGAGATAAAAGAAGCCAATTCTGCGTGGTTCCGCCTTCGTGATGCACCCACAAGTTGAAGTTGATCCCTTTATGCCATCCAAAGTGCTTCTTTCTACTTCTTTCATATCATGGTCAATGTCAGGCCCACCTAGATAATGTGCTTCACTGCATTTCTAAAGGCGTCAACCCAGGCACTCTGCCTATCTCTCGCAGCAGGCCAGAGGTTCGCGCGCTAAAACCGCACCTCACAGCATCATCAGTCCCTGCTACACGGGGTTCAAGGAAGTACAGCTTGGAGATCAAAGTGATCAACGCTCTAGCCTGTGACAAAGGCCTCCTTCGCTGAGGCTAGAGACTGGGGCATAGCGGGGGTGCCTTTCATAAACCTCAGAAACAAACATGCTGCAAGAAATTGGAATGCCATGAGATTCACAAGGCATCATGGCCGAGAGATTCGCAGCAAAAGAGTTTGTTTGTTCGACATAGCACGGGGGCTTTGATGGTAGACGGATTGTCTTCAGCCCGCCGTGGACTCAATTCCGAGGTCGCATCGAAAAGTCCTGGAGTTCACAGAAATTTTCAAAGTAATTAACCAATCAGTGTCTTGAACGCGGAGGGGTCCACCAGTGCCAAGGAACAGAACGATCGGATTCTCCTCCACTGCCTGCCTCCACCAGCTACGCGCTGAAACAAAACATAAAATGGCCCGGAACTCCATTGGTCTAAGCCAGAGCAAATCTCATCTTTCAGTAGCCTTGCAACCTTACATGTTCGGTAAATCTTCAATCACTACCAAAACACCAGAACATCGTAGGAGAACCAGCAAATTTGCTGATTCAGTTAACAAAATGCAAGACACGATGGACACAAACAAAACGGTAATATCTAAACGCAGTTTGGCACACCCAAACATTTACGCACCTCACAGCATCCATCGCCTCTGCTTGTGAGGCAATGCCTAGCTGGACAACACTCAGTCTTCGGCTGAAAGGGAACAAATGAGAGTTGCGACGACTTAGGATTGGTTTTTGAGCTAATGGCGCGCACGGTTTCAGACAATCGAAAGTGAACAATAAATCGTGATGTGTCCCAAAGACTAGGCAACGCTTTGCCCCATGATTTTACAGACAAGTGTTGGAAATTTGACCTAGTTGGCGGGCAGTTCTGAAAGTCACGTGTGCAAGCGAAATAGCCATCTTGTAAATCTTTTCAGCTTAGCGAAGTGGCAAAACCTTTTGAACTTCATTTGAAGTCAGCTTGCCGTTAGGAATTCACCAACAAGAACAAAGCGTCACTTTCTGCAGCCTGCCAAGAATAAAACAACCCCACTGATCTAAGGACTCTTTGGACTCTTTACAAAGTCTTCGGTAGCTCCTTGGTGCAAAGAAACATGGGGCTGGCTGACTTGTTGTGGAAGACAGGCAGGAGGACTTGGCAGGTTGGTTCCTGTCGCACCAACGAGTGGATATATGCATGTATGTATGTCTGTATGCATGCATGCATGGATGGATGCATGCATGTATGTAAAAAAGTTATACAACTATATTCATACACGCGCAACAAATACACATGTATCATAAATAAATAAAAACAATATATATATATATATGTTGACGTGTATCTTATCATGCGCCAGCATAGACCGACTATGGAACCCTGTCGGAATCAAGGAAAAAACTCTTTCGCTCATGACCCAGCAAGGCTGTAGGAAGTCCACCGCAGGGTACATTCCTGCGTTGTTGGCTCCCATGGGTCCATGGGTGGAGGTAAGTGGAAGGAGTTGGCGCCTCTTGCAAGTCCACGCCCTGGAGATCCGTGTTCATCCTGGTGACCAGCAGAAGCGCTGGCGTTGATGGTCATGCCCAAAAAAGTCATCCTAGCGAACTTGAATCTACACGTTGTGGGGCCTGGGCGGAGTAGACCTGGTGGGCCTGGTCACGGTCACGTGGCTTGTTGGAGGCCCTGGATGTTGTAGAGATCCAGATGAATTCGCAATCGGGTGCGACTGTAGTCTTCTTCTTCGGCTCACTTGTGGCACGGTGCTTCTATGGATCGGCAGTGGATTCATGTGGAGCCAATGGACAAGCTGCATTTCAACTTTCCGCCAACAGAAAGGACAAGTCGCTTTGTTGAAGGCTTGGCCGGAAGGATTGCGAACGACGCAATCTCGCGTCGGCTGACAATGTTGGTGGAATTGATGTTCCGGGCGTCTGGCGGATTGGGTGGGAGGACTTTACTTCTCAAGAACTTGGCGGACAACCTTCGCCCTCGTTGCCAGGGTGATTGTCAAGTTTGAGGTCTTGGGGGAGGTGGTCTCGAACTAGGAATTCACTCACCAGACCGCGGACGACTCTCAGGCAAATTGGCGCACTAGGGCAGATGTTGCGCCTGCGGTTCATGGAATTCATCAGCGAAGATGCTGGTCCGCGAGCAAGGTACGGCTGGAGAAATTGGAGGCGTCCCACAACCTGTTTCCAAAGCATTTGCCAACCCCGCCAGCTCCGAAGTTCAAACCGGAGCGTCCTTGTCTTGAAGAAGGAAGCCGGCGTCTGTGGTGGTCCCGCGGTGAAGAAGTAGTTCTTCGCGCCGGTGGATCTGGCGGTTTTCGGAATGGCCTTTCGCCCGTTGTTTTCTGAAGTCCCGTGGACGAGCTTGTGGCCTGTGTCTTTCCTACTCGGAAATGGGACGTCGAGCGTCTTCCATGGAACCGGAGGATGAGGCGGAGGTTTATTTCTGGCACTTTGTGATCGCGGTGGTCAAGGTATTTGGATTCAACTTCAAGGTCCGTCGTTTGCGTTGATCGTGTTTCCCCCTCGTGAAAATCTTCTTAACGGTGGACTGGCGCGCTATTTGGCTGAACTTGGCGTAGGGGGAGCGAGTCTTCTTGGTGGACACACTGTGGCGCTGTCAGCAAGCTTCACTTTTGTTCCTGCGCGAGATGGTCCTGAGCTCTTGAGAACCTGCGCAACAAGTCGGGGGATCGTGTTCTATGGCTTTGGTTGCTCTTGGGCTCAAAACGCGATGGAGGCTAAGGTCCTCTTCCTGCAGGAGCAGCCTCGTGATGCTGAGAAGGCAGGCGCTGCTGGATTGAAGGAAACCTCACGTCGGCGGCTCCAAGAAATTCCAAGGGCTAAGTCGACTTCTCCAAGCGCGGCATCTTCCCTGAGGCCCAAGACGCCTCCAAGCGGAAGGCCGCAATACTCCGAGGTCATCGACCACAGCGGCCTCCGATTGAACCTCGCGCGCAACCTTTTTGGGGGAAAGGCGGCGCAGAAAGGAACCTACGCCGGTCCAACCCAACAAAGGAAAGCGAAGGCCAAGGCTGCATGTGCGCAGCTGCATCTTCGTGCTCACTGGAACGGATATGGGCGATCCCAAAACTGAAGCTCGAGCTTGTCATACCCGAAATGAAATTCGACTACGGAGGGGTCAAGCTCAAAGAAAAAACAAGAATCCCACTTGCGCTGGCCCTGCGCGCTGACCCTGGACCGGCCATGACTCCAAGTGCTCTGCGCCCAAGAGGCCTTCTACACCTGCGCCGACTGGGCTTCGTGGTCCTCAGCGCTCTGATGGCCCACAAGGGCCAATGGCCCCTGGACCTGACAGGGACTGCCCTCAGGAACAGAAAGAAGTGGCCCCAACGCTGCCTTTGCCAATGGCACGATTGGATCTACATCCAGGAAGAGATGAACTGAGAGGGTTTGAGCTGAAGGCTGGGTCCTTTTCACCAAGCTCAGCGCACGTCCCATTGAGCCAATGGGAGGAGAGCGTGTGCTGGCATAGGTCGACTGTGCAGCCCTTTCAAAATCAAGGAAAGAGTGCTTTCGCTCACGTGGTTGTATATATATATATATATGTTTTTAGTATTATATATATATATATTGCAAAGAGCGCGCAACGAAAACACGAACAGCTTTTGCTCGCAATTCGGGCCGGCTCAAGGCCTTCGGGTATCGAACCTTAGCACTGTCACCTGTAGGCTGTGACATGTACCGTTTGGTTGTGCAATCACTGGTGTCTCAGGAAGTTTCATGTAGCAAACTTGTCCTCTTGACATTCCTCAACATTCTGTGGAACTTCCTGAGGCACAGTCTGCGCATCGTGATGTGAACTGCTAGCGCCGGATGTTCTTGCCAGTGCTTCTGAGTTGGTTTTCACCAGCAAGTGCTTGCATCTGTTGGTTGACGCTGTACATATGTTCATCATCTTTGTACACACGTGCTGCTTCCCATATCGCCGTCAGCAGAAAGTACTTTCTCTCTTTCACGGTCAGCTTTTCCCAGTTCTCTTGACTCATGCCGATGTTCTTTCTTGTCGTTGCATCTGGTTCACTTTGATAGTCATCATGAGGACTATCTCCTTCTTCTTCCTGTGGTGCCAGGCGACCATCTGCTCCTGGCTCTACAAACAATTCCGGCACTGCTGGGTCCTCCAGCATGCTCATCACTTCCGACTCTGTCGGTGTACCTGGGGCTTCCCGTCTATCTTGTCTCTTCTGCAGGATGGCTCTCTTCTCATGGATCAACCGCTTTTCCAAGTCCAGAGCTCTCACCTCCTGTCTTTCTTGCTTGTATTCAATCCTGATCAATCTGTCGACGACCTTGGTGACTCTGTAATTGGGTTCTTCTGCGACGTCATCCATCTTCTGTTAGGTGAGCCTGTTGCCATCACCAATGAACATTGACATCTTCTTGAAGTCTTCATTACTGGCGTGTTTCATACCATCCATGCCAGTCAGCATCACGTTGTTCTCCGCAAACATTTGTTGCATGCCAGCATGGATCAACTCCTGAGTCTTCCTTCTTTCTTGACCCAGAACATGGAAGATTGTCGTTGTCTTTTCATCGATCCTCTTCACGATCATCACCATCATGACCATCATTGCTCCCAACATCAATGTCAAACATTCTGAATTCTGTGAAACTGTTGCCTTCATCCCAAGCACGACCACCAGCATTGTTGCCACTGAAACAAGGGCGCCTTGCTTATACAATGCGAGGTCTTCATACCACTGGAACACCTGAGTGTAGCGAGTTGTGTTGAACCATAGGAAGGCCGTCAGAACAATGATCTCACGCAAGCAAACATCAACTCCCAACAAAACCGGGGCAGAATCGTCTTCACGTCCTGCTCGGCATTTGCTGGGAGGAACTGCTGCGCTAGTGACAACATCAGTACTGACTTCGCGCTCGCTCCGGCACTTGTGGATGTCAAGGCTGTTGTGTCGGGGCTTTCTGAACTTTCATCATCAAGTTCAATCGGCTTCTTGTTGATGATCTCAGCCTCTTCACGGCTTCTCACCTTCTCCGCCTTTTGGGCTTTCCAGCTTTCTGCTCCTTGAGGTGTCTGGAAGCCTTGGATCAGGACCAAGGGTCCATTTGTTGGAGTAGAGCACATCACTCAAATAAGCCAAGCCTTTGCGGTGGAGAGCTTTGGTCAACGCATCTGCCAACTGTTGCTCTGATGGTACCCACTTGCGTTCAATGCCCTCCTGCAAGCTCTGCCTGATGATTGCTGCTTCCAATGACAACCTGCGATCCGAGAGCAGCACACGTTCAGATTTCATGCAATCATAGAGGGATCTGCAATCTGTCACTGTGACACCTGGCACACGATGCAAATGTTCCTTGTAATGGCGCATGTCCAGCTCTCCATGCAACACTTCCAGAATGGTCGCTCTCAGCCAGCTGAGAGCACCTAGAGCCTCTGAACAAGAATAGGCCTCAGCGCTCAAGGTTGACCGTACCACACGCTTAATCTTGGACGATGTCCAATGAACAAAGTGAATGTGATGCACCTGTGTCCTGTCCTTGATCAACTCCGGGGTTGAAACGCCAAGCCAATATCCTTTCTGACTCTTGTGACCTGGAAGATTGTTGAAGGATGCATCATGAACTGCTACCACTGCAATGTCTTCCGGTTGCCAGGCCATGCCTGGTCTGAAGATGAGCTCTTCTTCTTGGTGAAATTGCTTGGCCCACAAAATGAGCTTCCTCTTGACCTTCACCTGGATCCTTGAACATGATCCAGTCTTCATCATTGTCGCTGTAGGTGAGGTCATAGGTCTCAGCCCCCACCATGCGGACATGCACCGCTGCATCGTCCTCTTCATCTTCATCCAGGATCACTGTCTCGACCCTTCTGACATTCTTTGAGCTTGTTGATGGCGCTGCAACCGATGCCTGGGCCACACTTGCACTGTCCCCCACCGATGTCGTGACTGTGGAGGATGTCTCACTGACTTGTCTCAGCGTCCTCATAGGGCACTCCTTGCTCCAATGGCCCTTGCCGCCACAGAGGTGTGTGGAGATACACCTTTGCCCTTTCCTTCGGCATCTTTGCCTTTGCCATCCTTTCCCTTCTGTTGCTTGCCCTTGCCCTTGTAGTCCACATTGGCATATTTTTTTTGTTTGCCTTTGGACTTGCCACCGTTGTCCTTTCCCTTTCCTTTGCCTTTGTCTTTGCCCTTCACTTTGTCGACATCCATGGGGATCACCTCGTCGTTCTTGTCGTGGTCTTTGGTGATGGCCAGTTCCTTCCCCATGAGGTGGTGGTCCTCTCATAGGCCAACATGTGTCCTCTGTCATCTGCAGCTGTAGATGCTGTCGGACTGCAGCTGGCATCACCCTCAACAAGACACTCAGCTTGGCGTTGTCGCTGATGTCCTCTTTGGCCACCTTGGCGTTCAGCCAATCTTTCTAGACCAAGCAGCTGTTCCAGCGTGGTCATCCCCTTGTCCTTCGTGAAGTTGGGGTGGTTCAAGAAGGCTTGCAACAAAGCGATCGACCTCGATCTCGTCTTTGGAGCCAGTTGAAGGCTGAGTTGCCTCCAAACTTCATAGCCATCCCGGCCCTCAGCAGCCCTTAGCAGCTTCAGGGGCCTATTTCGTAGAAGCCCAACCAAAATGGCATAGAGCTTCTCGGCTCTTCCTTTCCCCTCAGTGGTCAGCTTCACCTCCGTTTCAGAGCCTTCTATCGTGTCGAGCTCCTTGTTGTAAGCTTCCTCAGCAAACGTGATCCAGCTCTTGAAAGCTAGCCGCCAATCCTGCCACTGGGACAGCTCTTCCTCCATGTTTCTTGGCTCAAAGACCTCAGGAGATCTAAAGACCTCAGGAGATTTCACCACTTTGCTTGCTGCGGCGAATCCTTCGCCATTCTTCTTTCCATCTTTCTCTTTCATTTCCTTCAAGGTCTTGACCGCTTCTTGGGCAGCCACCAAGGCTTTTGCCACCTGCTCATCCATCTTTCTTTTTCTTTTCTTTCTGCACTTCAACTTCTTCTTTTCTTCCTTCTTCCCTGGATCTTCTTTCTCTTCCCGGGTATCTTTATTGAGCCCCCCGGGTCGGCTCCGCTACCATGAAAACACGTGGATGAACGCGCGATCGCCCGTTTTCGCCTGCTCGGGCGGGTCTGAGCCTGAACATACCGGCATGTCATCCGGCATGGTCACATTTTCATATATATATATATTATATATATATATATATGACGTATATGTATATGATATGAGATATATATATATATATATATGGGCTCGTGACGATTTGGGGGCCCCTTGTGAGGAGCAGCAGCAAGACAGATTTTTTTCTTCAGGGTTCTTGCCAGACAATGCTCAGATGGCTTCCTTGATCGCGTTGATGGTCTGCAGAATGAGGCGGCTGCAGTCACGACAGTCAGAATGCACCTCCTGCAGGTTCGTCTGCAGGCTCTCGAGGTTGGTCAGGGCCATATTCAACAAGCGCCGCCGCTTGGCGCCCTTGGTGGAGGAACTTGAGGACGAAGAATCTGAGGCAGCACTTTCATCAGACCCGGTCTTCTCGTCATCAGCAGCAGCATCAGCTTCAAAGTCTGCCTGCGCCGCTTGGCCTTCTGCTTCGGGGGATGCCTGGCCCATGTTGTCTTGGAGAGAGTCTGCCGCTGATGCCTTGGGACGCTCATGCTTTTCATCTTCAAGAGGGATTGCTGCTGCTGATGCCTGGGGATGCTCCTGCTTTTCATCTTCAATGGCAAGGGCTGGTGAACTGCTACGCCCCTTGATATTTTGGAGAAGCCATTCTTCTAGAGCAGCCTGAGCAAGGCCATTCCAACCACCCAGCCGTCCAGTCACCAAGCCATGGGTTCTCTGAAAGTAATTGATGTGGCTCTGCAACTGCTTGACTGTGCGCAGCCGTTTGCTTTCACACGCCACAACTTTGCCTGAAGCAATGTCCGAATGCAGCTTGTGGACGTCTGGAACTGGCACCACTGCTTTCTCAGCAGAGTCAGGTTGCTGAGGCTGACTCTGCGCAGTGAAGCTGGCCTCCGAGGCAAGGTGGATGTCGAGGCTCAGGCGGCCAGCCGCAAGTGTAGAGGCAGTGCCGATGATCAACTGCGCTTTTGGAGCCATGGCCAATCTACGAGGTGAGCCAGCAGAATCTAGCAAAAACACTGAAAGCCCTTGCAACGGGTGAGAAACACACAATCCAATTTGTTTGGCAGTAGACCCTTCAACCGCTACATGGAAACACGGTCAAGGTGTGGTACAAATAATGGAATTCATGTTGCTGCCTCGGTGTTGGAGAAGTGAGGTACAGATGATGGAACTCAGGTCGGTCATCATGTATTAGAGACATTGAAGTTAGTGAGCTACAAGCAGATGAAACGTATCCATGTACCAGAATTGCATGACAGATATGTGTGGCATGACAAACATATCTCTATATATATATGGGCTCGGACTTATCTAAGTATGCGAAGATATGGTTTATAAACTATAAGGCTAGTTTATAAACCATACTTGCAAATAATGATTATCTTATCTCACAGGGGGCCCCCAAATCGTCACGAGCCCATATATATATATGATGATATATATATATATGATGATATATATATATATAGTTCCTGCCTCGAAGGACAAGATGATGCACGATTTGAGGTGCCACGTGCAACTGTGTAGCACGACGCCCTCCCTTCCCTAGGGCCTGCAACGCCCCCGAGGTTCAGGGATGGTTTTGCCTGACAGGCCGGCCAGTTGATCGAACTCTGGAGTCTGAACAGCAACCCAAACAACCGGAGGATGAAGCTAGTAATTACGGCAGGCAGGGGACACACCCAGCGACCTGTGAAGATGCAGTGATCGAGTGAAGTGGCGCCTGTTTACCGCTGGTGAAGCGTGTGCAGAGTTGTTTGCAAGAGCTGTGATTTCAACGCGCAAACGCTACCACCGGTGAAAGTAAATGTTTCTAGAAGCTATTCTGTCTAGGCACTAGACACTGACTTGTTAGAAGCACTTTCTTTCAAGAAAGGCACCCGCTCTGCGGGACCTGCGTCTTGGGGTGACACGAAGTTATGCTCCACCGAACACTGTGCCAAGAAATGCTCAGGAATTTGATGCTGTGCAAAGAAAGGCAATCGCGAAAGCTTGTGAAGCAAGCGGTCTGCTTTCTCCTTGACAATGATGCCGTACAGAATGAGACGTCATGCAACCTCATACAGAGGCTGAGCGTGTTGAAGCAATGTTTGAGGGCTCTAGGGAACACTGGAATGCTGTGGAACATCCGGAATTCTTTGAGCATTTCATGCGTTTTGACAGAAACAAAAGATCGAGGTCGAAGAGTGCATGAAATTGTGCATTGAATTTGTCCATGATTTCTACATGCAATCACTGCCAGATGCTCATGCGCATCCTCCTGCGGCCAGAGTTTGATGCGCATGGACGAGAATGGCAAGCCCTTCTGAAGAAGCTCTTGTCTCTGAGGCCAATGAGAGGCTCAACCATACACATTCTTGGATGGAACATTTTCAAACACTTCTACTTGTCAGCAAAAGGTGGAATGGCTTGTTGCCGATTCACACAAGACACACCAAAGCTCTTGGTCTACAACCAGTTGTGTCGGCACGTTGAGGCCAAATCTTCTGGTCAAAATATGATCCTCTGTTCAAACTCTTGATGGAGGGCGAGGTTGAGTGCCAATTCTCTTCTCAACAACAATTCCACAATAGCATCTTGCATGGTTTAAGGGTTGAAAAGTAAGAGCCTGATCCTGCTGAAGTCGACTCACAAGTATCCGAGTGCATCGTCAACATGTTCGAACGAAAGATTGACTTTGATTGGGATGACGTGCCTGTTTGGAATGATCTGCCTGCGAACACCTCAATGAAGAAGAGACTGAATCACTGTTTGTTGAAGATCTTTTTGAACAACGTAAACTAATGACAAGTGATGAAGTTTCCCATCCACAGAAACGTGAACATGTTCAGCCAGAACCAGCTTAAGTTTCTGAGCGTCAGGGTTTTGTTAAAAAAGCATTGTCAAGAGGCACCCGGAAGAAGGAACCAAGGAACCCAAGATTCGGGCGCTGCTGAAATCAAAGGAGTCAAGGTTGGAAGATTGCCGCGATTTGGAAACTGTTGCTGCATGGCTTGGCAGCGCTGAGGAAGCGGAGGAAGAGCCCACAAAAGAAAAGCTCACGCCAGAGGTTGGCATGAAGACTCACACCAAAGAGGAATCATCATGTTCTGCGTCAGCTTCGAACTTCCTATCGATGAAAAGGGAAGGATACGTGGAAGGGAACGAGCCTCCTGTTGCCGCATCGTCTTCAGCAGGCTTGATAAGGCTGTTGTGCGGTGGCACTTTGAGAGCACAATTTCTGAAATGGCAACCCTTCCAGGAAAGCTAGCCCCTTGGAACGCTTGTTATGAACATGCTCCGACCCTACATACTTGCAAAAGCGCTGGCGAAGTGCTAGCAGCCTGATGCACAACAGCATTTTGCTTCGAACTGCCGCTCTGGTGCTGTTGCTGGTGGCTGCTGCTTTTCTGTCGAGGTAGGCTGGCTGGAGAATTGGTAGGCTGCTGGCGTTAGTCAACAATGTGGTTCATTTAAGTGCATGTCATTTTCAACAGCAGTTCTCTCACAAACACACAGAGACTAAACGTCTATACTATAAATGTGCTGTCCACTCAACAAGTGCCATGCGAGCGAAATCAAAATCCCCGTTCAACTGTAGTGGCAATGAGAGGTAGAACATCCCAAACAACTGGAGCGGGCCTGGGCACCTTTGCTTCTCCACCGAGGGTCAGCACCAGGAGCATTTTCCGGTAGATTCCTGGCACGCTTGCCAACTTGAACATACCCCAGAAAAGAAATGCACTTCAATCAGAAAGCAATCTGCTAATTGTGCCTGCAACTCCAACCATATAATTTGTAGTTTTTCTACACCAGGAGCTCCAGAAAGAGAAAGCACGTGGTTTGCACATGCAAAACTTCGTTCAACTTGCCCTTTCTCCACCGGTCCCTACAGGGATCTCGCCGCCATTGCCCAAATGGTCCTTGCATCCAAGGGATGCGACGGAAGCATGACAAGATTTGAGCTGGATTAGAACGGTGCAATTATATGTGCACTCCCGTCGATTCCCGTCGATCTGGGAGGTACCATTTGTCTCACCAAACCTCCATGCAGTGTGTTCAGCAACAGCAACATGGCATGCAGCAGCGACAAAGTACTGAATGCGTTCACACAAGTGTTGGTACTCAAGTTGTTGAGTCTTGGGACCAGGTCTTTCTTGGGCTGCCATTGTCAAAAATGCACTCGGCAAAAGTTGTCTCACCAAATGCCGGGTATCAGGTGTCATGTGACTGACCTGATCAAGCGAAGCTAGGTCTCTGAAAGGGAAGTGGTTGGGGACGCTCAAGCGTGTACCTGCTCTACACTTGAATGTCGTAAGGCTAAGCCAGGAACCTTGTCCTGCATACATCCATGCTCACGTTCAATCAAACGTTTGGTTCGAGTTTGACATGGAATGGCCAAAGGCCAAGGTAACAACCTCGTCCTGCATATGTCAATGTTCATGTTTGAACATGCTCTTAGCTCGTTTTGCTACATGTTCAGTCTTTATGTGAAGTAGCCAAAGGCTAAGCCAAGAACCTCCTGCTGTATAGCTTCATGTTCACGTGCAACTATGCCTTTAGATTGGTTTTCTGCTTTTGTGTTGAATGGCCAAAACCCAAGCCAAGAACCTTAGTCTGGAATTACCATGGTCACTTCCTGCCGCATTTTCGGCTTCGCTTTGTGTGGACTTGTGTTGCATGGCCAAAGGCTAAGCCAAGGACCTCACACGATCCAGTACATCTAATCTATTAAGTGCTTTGCTGATGCATGTCCATCTATTTGTGGCCGTTCTTAGTTGGTGGAGTGAGTTGTGTGGTTAATTCCGATAACACGCGAGACCTTAAGCTACTAGATAGTTACATTACATGTAACCTAGTTACATGCACAACTTTTTAGAATGATTTCGCGTGTCTGACACGAGGAAGACACAAAAAATGGGTCTGTGATGCCCTTCGATCTCCTGGGCTGCACGCGCTACACTGATGCGCTCAACGAGTTTGCGATCATTCACCCAAACCTTTGCGATGCATCTCATGTTTCAGGGCATCACTCTGATGCCTGCACTCCTACCAGGCATCCCAGTTTATTTTTGAGGTCTTCGAAACCTTGCTTTTGTTCACCCTTCCAGTAAAACCAAGAAACTGAACACACAGTCTGAGTTCAATAGAAGCATATATTATCCTTTGACTTGGAATGATTCTGCCAATCTCCAGAAGAACAAGCGTGTGTATGTATTTTCTATGTGGGTGAGTGGACGACCGTGTGCTGGACTAGGTCAGCGTGACGCCGACTTCAATGCTCTCCTTCAGCCAGACTTCCCAGGTGCTCTTCAACTCTTCCTTGCTACCATCTGGCATCTCTGCGCATCTCACAGAGCCTATGAGGTCCCCAACCTGCACTTTGCGACAAAGGTTTCTATCCAAAGCTATGTCCAAAGCTATGGTAGCATCAACTTTGGTCTGCAGAGTCTGCTGTGGTTGCTGCAAATGCATGACAGAATGGCCACCGACAGTCAGCATTACATGTCATTTGTACTGAGGATAATCGCATAATATATAAACAATACAAACTTGTCAAAGGAGTATAAACAAGCCATCACATCAACACACAATCAAACACCACAACCAAGTGATAACAACGTTGAATCCAAAAATTGTTTCGCAATCTACAAAGCACACACTGGCACATAATGTGACAAAACCAAAAGCAAAGAAACGCAGTCTAAGGCAACGCAAAACTCTGACAGCATAATCTTTCAGGGCAAACGAGCACAAACAAAAAATACGTACAAACAAATATCTACAACAGCAGCCTTTCAAAGTGAGGTTTCATGTACGCACAGTATTTACGTACAGTACATGTCTGTGCACTATTTGTCTCAGGCGCCCTGAAAGCAACTGCAGGCAGTCATGAATCATTCACATGCAAATCAGCCAAGCCAATGAGGCCCACCCGCGCCTCCTTGATTCCAATGGCTTTAGCGTGGGTTGCTACGCTTTTTTGCATGTTCCTGCAGCAGGCGCGTTGCTAAGTTACACCAGCATAGACCCAGATAGCTAGGCAGAATCCCACGACCTGTTGACATGCGACTGGCTGGAACAAGAATGTACGCAGCCTGCGCAGCCAGCTTACGGCACCTCCAGAGCGCGCGCAATCAGCTGACACCAGCACCAGTGCGCTTTGCCAGCTGACAACACCGGCAACGGCGAGCGCCCGACCAGCGCCTCCGCCCGTCTTAACCGCGCGCTCAGCCGGCACCCGGCACCCAGCACCAGCACCGGCGCCCAGCGCCAGAACCAGCAACCTGTCTCTGTGAGCTGGCTGTGCGCGTGGCGGGGACAGGTTGCTGGTGCTGGGCGCCGGGCGCCGGTGCTGGTGCTGTGAGCTGGCTGCGCAACGTGGTGGAGAAAGGTTGCTGGCGCCGGTGCTGGGTGCCGGGCGCCGGTGCTGCCTGCTCACAGCACCAGCACCAGCACCGGCACCCGGCACCCAGTGGTGGAGAAAGGTTGCTGGCGCCGGTGCTGGGTGCCGGGCGCCGGTGCTGCCTGCTCACAGCACCAGCACCAGCACCGGCACCCGGCACCCAG